AATCTTATACAACCATTCCCACGATAAATTAAAGACTGACATCATAGACAACTGCTTCTTCAATAAAAATCGAACTTGTAAATTTACATACCTTGTCATTGATCATATGCAGACTTATTTTGTTTAAAAATTATGATTCAACACACAAGTACTGAACGTACTCCGAGATTGATATTAAAAAGATGCTCTAGGTTCTCATTGACAATATCTATCTGATTTTCGGAGACCAAATCTTCCAACAATCTGTTTAAATTCCCGTGGGTACTAATTATAATCCCTTATAATCAGATTAGTTTTTTTATTCATATAAAGCAGAATTTATTCAAAAACTTATACGTGAAAAGAATAAGTCTCTTGCTAAGGCCTTCAATTCGACATTTAGATATATCGAAGCCTTTTTATCAATTAACAACATTTATTTTCATTCCTACGTTGATTCGATATATCCCTTTGAATTCGATATAAGGCACCACGGAGTTAACACATCTGTTTCATATCTGGATGTTTACCAGAAAAATACACTGATAGCAAACTGACAACACTTTATGATAATTGTGATGAATTAAACTTTTCTATCGTCAACTTCTCTTACTTATGTAACAAAATACAATATCACCTGCATATGGAGTTTATGTCTCCAAGTTGATTCGATACGCAAGAGCATGCTAAAACGTACGAACATTTTCTAAAACGAGGCAAATAACAAATGACAAATAAGTTAATGATTCAAGAATATCAGCAATCTCGTTTGAAGCCAACGTTTCACAAATTCTATGGTCGATACAATGATCTTGTTTGCAATTACCACTTATAGTTATGTCTAATGTTGACTAACGTTTATCATACAAAATTGTTAGGCCATTATTTTCACACTGAATTGTCTACGATTTTCCGATTACCCAATCATGACAAAGAGCACACGGCAGGTGTGACAGGTCGGCAGGGGATGTTTACTCATCCATGGAACCTGATCCCACCTCTGTTTTCGGAGGTTCTTGATGGTTCTGCTTATAATATATATTGTTTAAATGGACTTTTGAGAATGATCACTGTTATCTTCATATTTCTTTTTTTCTTCTCGTACAGAAGTTTTTGATTAAATTCTGCTTCATATGAATATAAAATGCTTGAAAAGTTTTGGAATCTTAAATCTTAAATTTTCCAAAAGTTCTTTGGAGTTTTTGAGAATCTACATTTGATTCTACATCTACATCTGATTCTACATCTACATCATGACAATCTACATCATGAATATGTTGCAGCACAATACGTCTGAAGTTTCTCCTTCACAGCATTTGATATTTTGGTGAGGAGTAAGAATAGGCGCTTGGTTGAGCATTTACTCGACTCTGCAATATAACTTTTTTTCGAGGATTTTTTACGAAGTTTTGGAATCCAGTATAGTACGGCTTATATCAAACTCAATTCCATTGACAGGAATATTAAAAGTATTTAAAACTGAAATATGATTTTGAAGAATTTCATCTTTTGAAAGGGAACTGAGTATCGGTTTGATTACGAGATGTGTAATTAAAACAGAGTTCTAAAACGCAGTTGTAATAATGAACCTTACAAACAGAGACAACATTTTTAAAAACTTTGTCAGCTGGAACCAAAACATATATTTCCTGTAGTCTTTCTAATTCTTTTATCAATACAGGACTACTGAAAACGATTTCTTTTTCTAAAAATGTAGTAGAGTTTTCTTGTGCAGTTTACATTCTAGACAATATATTGGCTAGCAAGATATGATAAATTGCAAGTAATTTTCAAAAACATACAATGTGAATTTTGCAGTCCATCATTTTGACACACATATTATTCTATCATGCAAGTTATTTTTGTCTACAGTTGTGTTTATTAATATGGATAAAAATTACAGGAAGAACAAATAAGTTCTAATGAATTTAAATTAAAAATAAATTGGATATTACATGTTTTTGTCGTTCTTGATTACTAACGATTTCGATGGCCTAGTTGTAGGGTGCTCGCTTCTGCCGACTAGAAGGCTATGGTTCGATTTTGTTCCCGGCTTCGTGTCAAACTTAAGACGTTTAGAATAGTAAGACACTGTTCCTATGCTATGCATTTGCTCGATTTAAAAAAAAGTTTACTCCTACAAACACAAACGCCATGCAGAGATTAAAGATTGTGGCACTTCTTCCAAAGCTTGTGACGTCACTTCCAGGATAAAAGAAAATCTCGAATGGGGCGTAAAACAACATACAATCCATCAAAAAATCAATCAAATTTGATGACTTCGAATATTGACAACTTCAATGAGGAAAAAGTATTGAAAAAATAAATACTACTTGATTCAACGAAAGGTGACATTTATTGAGAATTTTTTTCCATAGGTTGTAAATCAGGAATGTATGGAAGAAACTGCAACTTAATATGTCCAATCAGTTGCCTGGAACATAGGTGTGACATTGAAAGCGGCCATTGTTTGAGGTGTGCGGCAGGATGGTTGGGATCAAAATGTCAGGATGGTAAAAATATTAAGATTCCTTGTATTACTGGTAATCACTTTTTATTCGCGAGAACTTTATTTTCGCGTTATTACGCGAGTCTGTCCGCTCGCGAAAAATTTAATTCTCGCGTATATTTGTATTGTTGAGGATTATATACAAAATAATCACAACTGCTCGCAAAAATTCTGTCTCGCTTATAAATACCAGATAATTTTCTCGCGAAAATAAGGTGTCGCGAAAATATAGTGATCTACAGTATATAATTATTTGAATCTGTTAAACAGGATTTCATTATACACTGTTATTCTTTATAAAGTAAAATAGTTTTCAGAGGATTTGTATGTCTATAATGTAAATCTTATTGTTCTAAAAGTTGTACACTAGACGAAATTGCTAACGCACCACTTGTTTTTCTCATTTGTTGATTGAACGTTTGATTAATTGGCACTAGTATATCTAATTTGCTATCTTTCTTAAAACAGAATAAAAATAATAACAGAAAATAATTTTCTGATATCAGAAATTCAAATTCTTGACATTAAGAATTTTTTTTTGATATCAAGAAATCGAATTTTTGATATCGGAAAAGACCTCAAAAATACTAAAAAAAAATACTAAAGGGCGCCTCATATTGCTACGTTCTACCACGCTGGTGGTTTCATCATTCAGGGGAAATAGTTTTTAACAAATGTTTCTCAACGAATCAGATTCAAGCAATTTACACAAGTATAAGTATAGTATAATATTTCAATATATTGCAATATAATTCTTCTAACAAATATCTACCCCTATTCGCAATTCATAAAACCTGGTATCTTACGAAATAATGTATTAAAAGCTATTTGTTATAAAATGTCATGTATATTACACTTACAGAATGCAGAGATGGTACATATGGTTTGAGATGTATACACAAGTGTGGACACTGTTTAAATGGGACACCTTGTGACAAGGAGACTGGAAGCTGTGGAACAGAATGTGATCCTGGCTATCTTGGAGACCTTTGTGACAAGGGTATAATGTTTTCTATTCTAACATCAATTGTGAACAGAAACATTTATTATAATCAATCCCAATAAATCGGTCAATAAGGATACATACCTGTAAACATTATGTATTATAATCATGCTTTATATATTGAAGAACAGTCTGTTGTATTTTTGCCAGTATGTGAAAATGGTAGGTACGGACCTAATTGTATATTCGCCTGTGGCCATTGTTTTGATGGAGAACCGTGTGATAAAGCTACAGGAATGTGTGACACTGAGTGTGACCCTGGATATTTCGGAGGGAGGTGTAAAAAAGGTACAAGTCTGCAGATGACGAAAAATCATTATACTAGTAGTAGGGATTGCAATCGGATGAATTTTTGTAACCGTTTATTCGTAAATTTTCCGACCACGTAACCGGATAAACGAACAGATAAGACTTGTTTGTAATTTTGAATATATAATAATTAGAATTATTTGCTTTTTAACAAAATCAAAAATATATAAAGATAATTTTTTTCTGCTATTTATATCAATTAGACTCAAGCCATATATTTTCACCGACATTAATAATATCAACATCAGATTTGCTTCTCCACCGTTATTCTCATGTATTAAAAAAATAATTTCATTTAATAATGATGATTATTGGAGATTATGCAACTTATTCACCAAAACACACCACCACCAACAAAAAGATAATAATAATAATAAAATCGCTCTGACGGCACATATGTTGCGGGGATCGCAAGATACTTTCATGATAATTTACAAGTTGTGGGAATTTTGTGCTATTTAATGTCACCAAAGAAGGGGAGGGGTCTGCTATAGACTTATTGACCCCACATTCATTGTTGTTGGATTTACATCCAACAACAATGAGTGTGGGGTCAATAAGTCTATAGCAGACCCCTCCCCTTCTTTGGTACGAAGGTACGGAAGCGTAAGATTGTTTAGACTTATGTTTTTGTACTATTTTGCCGTCCCGATCTCTTTTGATATATCGCCAAGCTGTCGATGGTGATGATGGCGTTTCACTGAATAAATTTCAAGTATCGCACTGAATTACCATATAAAACATTGCTGAGTAGAAAAATAAGTTGTTTTAGTGCGTCAATAAAAAAAGTTAGAAATTTTTATGAGGAGGTACTTAAACATTAATGTGAATTATTTGCTCGATTGCAGCATTTTAATTTGTAACACACTGACACTACCTATGAGTTGATTTGTACTAAATGTATATTATTTACATATGTTACTACTAACATTTTATGAAAATTGTACTCGGTTACGACCTTTCTGACAGATTAGTTCGTTCACCGGTAAACCATTGCCATCCCTAGCTAGTATACATGTGCTTAATCAGCCAAAACTTAGATTTGTAAATTGCACTCACAAGTCATACACCATTAAAATCTAACTTCCGGACTATTTTTTTAAATATGGATTTATTATTAATTAAAGGAATGTATATTTCAATTACTCTTCAAAAGTTGTTTCGATTATTTTTTATGAATGACAATTGTTTATGTTTGTGATGTTTTTAGAGTGTTCTCCAGGGATGTTTGGGAAGAATTGTGGTTATTCCTGCAGTGGACACTGTGCACACAACGAGAGTTGCTATCATATTGATGGGAGTTGTAAAAAAGGGTGTACGGCCGGGTACAGGGGAAACAACTGCAAAAACGGTAATTACTTACAATCATTTAGGATACTGAAATATAATACAGTCGTACATGTCAGTATTTTTATATTTTTGTTTATTAGATCCATTTAGATTGAGTTTCTGGGCACTACAACTTGTTTTGATCCCTTTTTAGTTTGTGAACCTGGGTTCTATGGTACGAACTGCACACAGATATGTTCCTTCAGATGTCTAGAAACGTGTAACCATGTCGATGGTTCTTGTAGATGCACTGTAGGGTGGATGGGTCCCCCAAACTGTACCACAGGTAATTTTAGCGAATTATTGAGAATTCCTTTTTTTCCTAGTAATAAGTAAATATAAGGATCTAACTGTGTGCCATTCTCTGCAAGAAAGATATTGAGGAGAAGGTCTGCAAACTGGACCAAGGAATAATGAATAAATGGAAGATAACGTCATTGAGTTAATGATTCCACCAGAGATTCCTTTGTTCCTCTTTTTCTTATTCTTTTTTTTATATCCCAAGAATGTCCTCTAAACTTCTTTGGAATTGACTGTCGACACCTGTGTAGTGATCACTGCAGTAACAATGATACCTGTAGTAGCTATGACGGTACGTGTGACGGCGGATGTCAAGAACCATTTATTGGTCGTATCTGTGATCATCAAAGTGAGTGACATATAGTATTGAAGAGAAACTTGTTTTTTAACACACTGTAGTTTCTGATAATTGAAACGTACAAAAAAATTATCACACTTTACTATACCTTATTCTTGTCACTGTCCGATACTTTACAGGAAGCCCTTTAAAATCAGATTTAACAACAAAATCTTTATAAAAAGTCTTTTTTAAACTAACAATAATTCAATAAACAACAGAACACCAGAGCTCACAATTCCTTTCAGATTTTACCGAGTTTCAGGAAGAATTAGTTTGTATACATAGACCTCTCTCTACTGCGTGGATTGCAGGAATGGCCTTTTCTCTAACATCAAATATATTTGCAGTTGTCATCATCATTTTCAAAATAAGGTATTTTTTTTAAAGTTTGCTTTGATATTTGGATTTTTAGAATTTTTTAAATTGTAAACCAATGTCTATAATACTTGCCCTGACTACATGTTTGTCATTTATATTATGCAAGGGAGTTATTTTTTCCTTTGATTCGGAAGGATTGGATATAATAATTTCCTGGATTCTTAAACTACCTTATCTTACATATCATATTTCACATCTAAATTTCAGCAATTTTGACCCTTTTACAGATTTTTATGCAAAACATCAAAGAATTATTTGAAGTTTGAATGAACTTTTTTTTTGAAAAATCTCCAAAAAATAAAAATGTATTATGAGTTTTAAAAATTCTTTTCCTAGACATTGTCAGAGGAAAAAGAGGAAAGGAGCGGTATATTACAATGGCAGATACCAGAACTTTGAACAATGAAGATAACACTCATAATTATGAGGGAATAAATAATACTGCAAATACTGCAAATTAGAAAATCTTGTAAATGCTACATGGAATTTCTGCTGGTGTTTTGCCTCTTTCTGTATTCGAAGAGCGTTCAATAAATAAAAAACGTTATTAAAGAATACGAAAAAACAAAAAGCATTTTTTTTCTATTTTAATCCTTCAAAAGATTCTCAGTAAACCTTTACACATTCCTCAATGCCTACTTTAAAGTGAATTTGTTTGCTAAAACAGGAAAAAGCAAGCAATTTTCAGTGAATTGAAATTAATGGATAGTAAAAAATAAACTTAACATCATCTATATTTCATATCGTAACCGTATGTTACTTTATTTATTGAATGCTTCTCATAATTATGCCTTCAGAATTATCACGTAAATCAATGTGAGTGTGTGTGTTTGCTTAGGAAAACTTTTTGACACTTTGTCAGCCTTTAATCTGTAAATGATTGAAAAAATATTTTTGTTGTTGTTTTTTTTTTTTGCGTAATACATTTTTTATGACTATTAATTCCTCCAAAACTGTGGGTTGTTTAGTGTATTTTGTTTAACATTTTTTCATATCAAAGCACTAATACTATCAATGTTCCTATTTGCAAATCAACAGGGGTTCCTTAGAATGATAACTTTGCTGTGCAGGGAAGAGGGAAGTTTTTTGAATGTTCCTTCCTGAAGAGTCCTTGAAGTTGAATTATCAGTTATAATAATGAAATTAAGTATGAAGATAACAAAAAATAATCAAGCTCAAAAGTCCATTGCAACAATACAAATTTGGAGCAGAGCAAACGTGGACCTCCAAAAAAAGATCAGAGGTGGGATCAGGTGCCATGGAGGAGTAAACATCACCTGTCAACCCGTCACGTCCGTCGTGTGCTCCTTGTCATGACTGGAAAAACAGAAAAATCCGTAGACAATTCATTCTGAAAATAATGACCTAATACTAGGAATTTGTATGAAAAACATCATTCAGATTCGACTTAATGATAGATTGTATATGCTGACAAGGTCATTGTATAAACCATAAAATTTGCGAAACTTGACTTTAAACGAGACTGTTTATATTCTTGATTCATTTACCTATTTGTCAATAGCTTGCCTCGTTTAAGAAATTTTTCGTACGTAGAGCATGCTCTTGCATATCGAATCATGGGAGATATAAACTCCATATACAGGTGATAACGGTGTATTGCTACATAAATAAGGGACTTTGACGATAGAAAAGTTCAAGTCATAAAGTTTATCATAAACTTTTGTTGTTTGGCTACCATAAACGTCTTTTTCTAGTAAAATATCCAGATATAATTTAATTTTGTTTGTATTCTAGCCTCTGATTAGTTAATACCCAAAAGGAACACAAATTATTTCTGTATAACCTGTTTTGGTATGGGGACACAACCCCCTGACAACCAGCTAAATCGACTGTATCCATGCAATCATCTCTTTTCTAGTCCTCGGGATTCATGGAAAATTCCAGATTTAATGAATGTACCTTTTACTTCGAACAGTAGCTGGATCTTACCACATGTAATCAAACAACATGGCTGCTAGGACTATGTATCAGTTTTTACCTCCCCTCGCTTCCCATCACCTCTGTTACTACGGTTGTATTATTGAGCGGCAAATTTGAACTAATAAAAAGCAACGAAATTTTACAACCACAGTTGTTTAATGATTTTAAATTAAATTATAAGGAATGACTCTAATTCTTGGCCATATTATTCGAGTATAACCTGGTTTGGGTCAGTTTACGCTTTATAATCCGCGACTCGAATAATTTTGCCAAGACTTAGAGTCATTCCTAAAATGGAAACAGATATGTCAGACTGTGTGGTATCTTTTATTTTGAGTTCAAAGGGATATATGGAATATTTGTAGGAATGAAACTGAATACATGAACTTGAACTTGTTAGAACGTCGACGATATATCTAATATTAAATTGAAAGCCACAGCAAGAGACTTCTTTTCATATAGAAGTTTTTGAATAAATTTTGCTTTATATGAATAACCCCCCCCCCCCCAAGAAAAATACGAAATGGACTGAAAAGTGTTCAGAGGACTGTTTATATATTGCTGGCTTGGTATTTATATGCTTCTAAACATATAAATTAAGTTGTTCAAGATTTTATGGACACTGAGTAATTTAATGAATTTTTCTATCCCCCTCCCCCCCCCTCTCTCCAATTCACATTCAGATATCACAATATCACTTTCATTGACTTTATTTCCTTTTTTTCTTACAAGTGAATATAATTCTGTCCATGTTGGTAAATATTCAGATCAAAAATAAATCTTACCTTTTATGGTATATTTCTTAATTTATTTTATTGAATCATTTCAAAAATATTCTGAGCTCGCTGGTTTTTATGAGATTGTTAAACACAGGTTTTTCGTGATTCTTGTCATTTCCAACAATAATCCTAAGTACTACTCCACTAAAAAGGACATAGATAGTGCAAATATGACTTCATAAAAACCTTTCTTGATTTCAAGGCTGAACAACTTTAAAAAACCCAGTTTTTGATAGTTTGTTTCCAGATGTGATCTCTATATTTCTACGAAACAGAGACAAATTGTTTGCTTTCCTGTTTAACCTTCATTTGATACTAGTATATTACTCAGTGGTAAAAGAAAAATCCAATTATTTAAGATCCCCTTTTCAAAGATGGATTTAGATAAACTTCCTGTTTTCAAAAAACCAGAAAAATCATCTTTTATCCAAAGGATTGCACCACAGTTTACAACATATTTATTGAATGGAATCAACATTTTAAACATGTTATCAAACTTTTTCCCGCCGATATATGGTTGAAATACTGCCGACTCGGCGTTAAACAATAAACAATGAATAAAAGAGTCAAACTCTTTTATATGGTTTCAGGTTTATTTTTATTTGAATTCAAGACCAGAATCAACTAAACAAGGTGCGTTTGTTGACAAAGTGTTGTTGGAAGTGTCTGATAAGACATCAGCTCTACTGGTTTGTATTTATGATGGTGTAAAAAGTGAAGGTAACGATCCATCAAAAAAAAAAGAAAAGAAAAAAAACCTCTCACAACAATATAACGGATCCCTGGAAATGCCAGAGAAGGAATTCCGTGCCTAGGAAGAGAATGCATCCCTGTTGACCGGTCACACCTGCCAGACGGAGTATCCGTAGTATAATAAAAAATGCCTTAAAATACACTGTAGGTATGAAATATGCCAATCAAATACGTCCCAATGATAGGTTACATCTGCTAACAAAGTCATTATCACGAGCATACGAAATGCCAATTTTAAATGAGGTTGTTGAAATCCCTTTAACATTAACTTATCTGTCAGTAGTCTGCCTCGGTTTAAAAATTGATCGTACACAAAGCATGCTTTTGAGTATCGAATAAGCTGGGAGACATCTACACCATATGTAGGTGATAGTAGAATGTCACGACATAAATAAGGAAAGTTGACGATAAAAAAGCTGTGAGAAAAAAATCTTTGTCTCTTAACACTGGTAGCACAGCCTTGAAGTCCATTTTGAAATATCAAACATGAATAATGATATAAAAAAAACCCTATATTTCGTTTCCGACTTTGTTTCTGGCGAAATATTTCTTTACAAAGCGAAAAATTAATAAAATTAATATCTTTTAAAGTGTGCATTGGATTATTTACAAATGCATGTTAGAACAAGAAGTGTGGAACAATCAAATATGGAGATAACGAACAGTAATGAAGCTCAAAAGTCCATAGAAAAAAAATACAAATCAGAAGCAGAGCAAACACGTACCTCTAAAACATAAGATGTGGGATCAGGTGCCATGGAGGAGTAAGCATCCACTGCCGACCGGTTACACCCGCGTGTGCTCCTTATCATGATCGGGAAAACAGAAAAATCCGTAGACAATTTAATGTAAAAATAATGGCTAACAATTAGTATAAAAAATGTCAGTCAGTATTCGACTTAATGATAGATTGTATTTGCTGACAAGGTCCTTGTATCGGCCAGAGAATTATGGTTTATTTTTTATTATATTTTACAGGGTTCTCAACAAACTCTATTAAAGTAAGGATTTCGCACATGCTCTATAAATTGTCGTTAAATGACGTTGTTTGTCAATACAACGTATCGTTTCCTACCAAGTGTTAGGCCATTTTCTTTATACCAATTCTGACTACAGATTTACCCGTTCACCTGATCAATGCAAAGGCTTTATGGCACGTGTGATGGAGGATGATAACGTCTAGACACCTTCTCCCACTTCTGATCTTTCCAGGAGTCAATATTTTTACTCTGTTCTCCATTTGTATTGTTTTAGGTTTAAGGAGATTGAACACTATTGTATTTTTTTTTATTTAAAGTTTCTGCAGAATAAAATTGATCTAAGCAACCGGCATTCAACTTTCAGTAACTTTCAACCAAAATTTAAAAAAAAATTAAAAAATAATACTTGAAGCATAAGACATGGAGCAGGAAACTTGGTTTTTTTCTTCCTTTATTACTCTATCCAATTTAATAAAATCATATCTTGAGTTGTGTTAAGTTCTTTTCAATTTTTTAACATGCAGGTTTGTTTGAATAAGGAAATGTGAATGTAAAAATTCTTAAATAGTAGAAACCAAAAATTAGATGCGCTAAATCACTGTTTTATGGGCAATTTTTAGCATTAATCATTGTTGAACCAATAAGCATGCAACTTTTCTTCTTTTTTCTGTCCATTTGATAACTTGTATTTTTATCTGAATGTTGATTAAAATAACTGCGTGTTCATATACGACCAGTTTCAAAGCTACCAAAATTGTGATGGGTCAGCTTTGGCTTGTCATGAAAGTTTTTCTTATCTTCGTAATTCTTAGAGAATTAATTAACTGTCGTGGATACGGTAAGCAGAATTTTAATTTTAATAGTAACATAAGTTCCTTAATCAACAAATAGTATTTATACAAACCTATGTTATATAAAGTTAGGACAATTTGATTTTCTTTACTTAAAATTTTTATAGTTTCCAACTTTGAGTTTTGATAATGAGTTTATATTTTTTCAGATTGAAGTGTGATTATTCCCGACGATGTCTTTTTGCAATTAATGTGTATTTCTGCTTTACGTATATTTAAGAAATAAACATGCGCATTATGAATAATATGCCACCAGAGCATTTGCTATTCACAACGGCATGCTTACCGAATATCGTTTTTTTTATATTTGCATTATGATGTCAAGAGAGACAGAGAAAAGGCTGACCGAGAAAAAAATGCACGACTACTTGTCATAAATTAAAAAAAATGATTGTTGAAAATAAATCAGCAGATTTATCTGATAAATACAATTTAATTCTATATGGTTCACAATATTCACGATCATATGATTTATTCTATATATCACAAAAATGGATGTTTATGGAGTTGCACCGCCTCTGGTTACCGAAATATATATATATATATATATATATATATATATATATATATATATATATATATATATATATATATATATATATATATATATATATATATATATATATATATAAAGAGCACATTTTACAACAACTCTTAAACTAACATAACTGTCCTGAGTGAAGAAGTGAAGAAATATTAATATAGAAAGGACAAAGAAATTCACTTTTATAAGGATACCCACTTCCGCCCCAGCCCGGGATTGAACTCATAATGAAATTATGTTAGTTTAAGAGTTGTTGTAAGATGTGCTTTATAAATAAAAATTGATTTCATTACAAAGTGTATTGGTAACGATCCTCTAATAAAACTAATATCCAAATAACTGTATCCCACTTCCATTCTCAATGACCGTGTAGTGTAGGGCAGGGCCGCGAGAATTCCATCGGCATCGAAAGCAAGTTTATTGACTTGCCTAGATAGCCGAGCGGTCTAGCGCGCTGTTCTTGAAATGCTAGGAGACAGATTCCGTAGGTCGAGATTTCAACCCCGGGCTGGGGCGGAAGTGGGTATCCTTATAAATGTGAATTTCTTTGTCCTTTATATATATATATATATATATATATATATATATATATATATATATATATATATATATATATATATATATATATATATATATATAATCTGCCTCCATTTCTTAAAATCAGCGTCCTCTGGTCCTTCAAGACATCGATTCCAACACTCTGGGGGAATGGAACGTCACTGTGACATACTACCCTGTAACTGAATGAAAATAAACATTTATTATAATATATTGGTGAAAGCAAGGAAAGGCATGTTATACCGAAATAAAGTATGTATACTTATTATGGCCTATTTACATAAACTTTTACTTTTTAGTTCCTTTCTTTTAAAAATTGCTTTCACTGATCCAAAGCTGTCTAATTGTTGCATATCACTTACATAAATTTAAATGAAAATCTCTATCTAAAAGATACCTAATGGTAGCAAAAACAAAAAGGGAGCTATTGTTCACAATTTTTTTTTATCTTAAAGAATTTGTTTGACATATAAGAATTACAAATTAGAGATGCTTACTGGGAAAATAAAAAAAAAAAAACAGAGAGGAAATTCTGTAGAAGTCACAAATACAAAGAGGTCAGTTGGTCCAAAATCAGAAATCAAAAGAGGTATATTCGTCATAAACACAAACCTATGCCTGAAGAAAATTGCTCAATAATTCATGCCAGTGAAAACTATAAAGAAACATCTTGTATTGAGGTTCTATCTGGCATACAATTGTTGTTGCATTTGTTTCTCTGATAGGTAAAGAACTCTACTAGAGAATCAATGATATACAGTTATCAAATGTGTAATAAAACAAAATGGGTAATGAACAAAAGTTACTTATTCAGTCCAGAGACAGAAGTTTCTGCCAAGTGTATTCGTCTGAGAGCAACAAGTCTTCTAGAGACTAATACTCGTATTTTAAAGTATTAAGGCAAGACAAAACTTTCTCAGTTTTTCCACTGATCATATGTTATCTGTTGTACCAGGTGAATAATTTTGACATTATTTGTAGCTTCTTCTGAACCTCTCAGTTTGAGAGGAGTGTAGCTGGTCTAAACACCTAGTCAGAGAAAATGCCTTTCCGTTAAAATTATCACCTTTTTTAATTGTAGACAATTTGTCTTATTACAAACGAGCTGAACAGAGTTCAACCTGGACATGTACGTACTTGAGCTGCCTTATATACAGGGCTGAAAACGCAGTTGATAATGACAATCAGACGTGCTCCAGGAGTGATTACTTTGGAAGACATAGCCCGTTTGATTCAGCATGGTGGTATGTTGATCTTGGTGATATAAAAAGTATATACAGAATCAACATACTCTACAAGGATTACGGAAGGGAGTATGGTATGTCTCTTTTATCGATTAGGAAATGTGAATTATTTTTACATACATATGTACCGATCTACACCAAAAAAAAAATATCAATACATGTGCACTTTCATTTATTTCATTTTTTCAAAGCAATGTAAGTACCAATTGTAAAAATTGCTACCAGGCAATTAATATCATTCCATAAGCATTTTTAACATTATATAAATTGTACAGTATTGAAATTATAATACCCTTACTTGATTAAGATTAGTCAACAATAAATGTAACAAAAGTCTTTCTAAATTTCTTTACAGTTGAGAGACAAAGAGGACGAATGGCCGGTTTTTCTTTATTCATCTCAAACAACACACAGATACAGGAAAGCCATCTCTGCTACAAAACCGGGAAGGAGTTGCCTCCCTTGAACTTTAGCACAATATGCCCTAGATATGGTCGTTATGTTATCTTTTATAATAACCGATTAAAAGGAGTGACATACCCAAATGACTACCAAAATTTAACTCTTATAGAACTATGTAACGTTGTTGTTGATGGTAAAAATATTTTTATAAAGTATAGTTTCTTGTTGCCCACTTGCTAGATAATACATGTATAATGGTTTGCAAAATATAATAGTTGCAAATTATGTTCTAAAAAATGTGATGTGAATTTGCAATCAATCTTTTTAACATTCTCAATATTACATGACGTAAATATTTTTCTGTTCGTGTTAATGAAAATGAATGAAAGTGAGAAACGATTGTTATTGCGTATAAACATTGCATTACTACAAGCTAATTGCAATTCAAAGACGTCTTTCTTTTGTAAACATAAAGATTATGCT